TAATGACAGCAATCAGAACCGGCGCACGATAGTGCATGGTTATTGGTTGTACAAACTGAACTGAACTGAAATTTTTCAAGTGGAACGGTACCATGACCTGGTGACATGGTGTTGTTGATTTAGAACAACAAAAATGAAAAATTGAATAACGCTCACAACCATTCAGGAAGAGCTCCTGTTTTCGGGTGGTGGGGGAGGGGAGCTGAAACTCGGTTTAAGTAGAAAAAAACAAATAAAAATTCGCTGAGGCAAACGATTTAGTTTGGACAGATCGGACGTGCAAAACTACCACAGGCATGATCGAAGGAAGTCTGAGCCGAGTCAACGCTTGAATTCACTGGGTACATTTTCGACTGACGATCCGAATGATCTCGTCTTTCTGCACGATGCAGATCTCAACCCCAATGGAGACCATCTGGGGCGTTCCGACCCAAAAGCCGCTGGTAATATATGAAAACAGCGAAACTGATGGATCTAATTCAGATCTGATTGGAAAAATAGGTATTTAGTGGGCAGCTGGAGAAGAGCTGTGCGATTTGTAGTAGGCTAAAGATATCGTTTGCCTGTTCGAATCGATGGAGGATGCGCAAAGAGCACTTGACAGATCAGCAAGTTCTGTTGCTCTTTTCGGATTGTGGTTTGCACCTTCATAGTGCAACGTGATGCTACAAGACTGGGTGTCACCGAGTTCTGTTCTGAAACTAGACGGTCAGGAATTAGCTGAATTGGACTGCTGCGTGACCACCGACGGTAGTGCATCAAAGGCGATAACCGCCTGCATTTCCAAGGCTCGGGCAGTGTAAGCAGGACTTTCATGTCTGCAGCGACGACGTAACGTTTCATCGAAGTTGAAAAGTCACATATACTGCACCACTGTGCGATCAGTTCTGCTTTACGGTTGTGGAACCTTGGATTTTCTGGTTTAGGACATCTGTGTCCTAGCGGTTCTCGAAACACGATGCTTACGTAATCTGGCCCAAGTGGAATGGAGTGAGCAAGTTATAAACCTGGTACCAAGTCGTCGGGTGTTTGGGAATGTATAGAACTCAAGTTCGATATCGCATCGAATTCAACTCAATGGGTTCCGTCGGTTAGGATACGTTTGACGTGTATCTAACGGTCGCCTACCACACCGCACTTTATTCGCAGTGGCTGTTGCAGACTTGAGAAAGCCTCGTGGGGCCTAGGGGATGACGTGGAGACGATGCATGAAGAAATGCACAGAGCGTTTAGGTAGAGTAGGTGTCGTTCGTCTTCTGGGTTGGGATCCACAAGACTCCGTAACCGGATAGTTGGAGACACTGAAGGTCATGGCTGCGAACCCACAGCAATGGCGATCATGCTGTCACTTCTTATAAGTCAGATGAATAGGCAATTAACACGATGAGATGCGAATAAACATCTCTGTCATTTGAAGCAATGAGGAGGTGGCACAGAGTTTTGCGTTTACCATTAAAATAGTAATCAAATGCATATCAGACTAGATGGGGTGCACAGCAGGATTGAAAAAAAAACAATAGATAATCACATGAACCGAAATTTCTCCATCTAATCTATTTTCGGAAATTCGGCAGAAAATGAAAGCAATCGCTATATAAGCGTCATCAACAATAATCTGTATCACCAGTATCGTTGGTGGTTCATTGTCAGTATTATTTCCTCACGGACTGAGAACTTGCGAAGTGTGAAAACGGCAAGCGGCGTTTGACGAGGTAAGGCGTGGGTGGTCAAGCTAGGGTCTGGCACGAGGATATGAAAACCCTAACCAGGAAACCCGGTCACGTATGTCCCGTTAGGATCTCTGGCTGGGGACCTCGGGATGATCGTAACCGATGGTTAGAGACACTGAACAATATGGCTGGGTGTCGTAAACAGTGGCGTTCGTGCATCTCCTCAATTTCTTTGCAACCTTAGACCACTTAACTTCTCCATTTTCTGTTCGACTCCACTTTAAACTTTCCTTTCTTCTCCCGTTCTTCATCCAAATGGATAGTTAATGACAGCAATCAGAACCGGCGCACGATAGTG